TTTTTTTTTTTTTTGATTGAACAAACTTAGCTGAAATTATACGAATTAAGTTAGGAATCTGCAACAGATTGTTCAGATAGTCAAAACCTTAGATAAGTTCAAGCAGTTTATTAAGTAGATAATAGTAAGTTTTATATATGCGTGAATTCGATCTAATTAAACGTTTAGAATTAGGCCAAACATAACAGTATTAAAGCATTTCAGCATATTGCATTTCGCTCAGTGTATAGGTCATATATATGTGAGTCATATATGTATGTATATGTGGAGTTATATGTATGTATTGCATGTTATGTAAATATAGACGAGTAAATAGGCATTTGTTTTTGTCGAAATTTTGATTTGAATATGGGATGGATTATAAGATAAGTGTTTTTGAAGCCTTTGAAAGTTATGTGGGTCGGGTATACGTGGATATATATATATATCTGAATATGATTGCAGTATATATGTATATATATATATGTGTGTAAATATATGTATGTGTGTATGTGTTCAGATACGTATGCAAATGTTAGTTGACTGAAGATTACATTTGTTTCTCTATATATATAAGAATAGAGCTGTGTATATATATATATATATGTGTGTGTGTGTGTGTGAGTGTGTTATGAAGGTCATCTAATGGGCAGGAATGAGTACAGTTGCTGCAAATTTTTACTAAGAAGGTACAGTACACTTGTATATAGGTTAGTTATAGAGCGGCTGCTATATCGTAGAAGCTAACATTAGGCAGGTTCTTGGCGGCTTTATTCCAACTTAATAAATACATATATAGAAATTTCGAATAGGTTTTTTTCTAGCTTCGGTATGTTTTGTTTTCTCTTTTCACTTTCTTTTTTTGGTCGCATTTTATAAAAATAAAAATTTCGTTTTTCATTTACTTTTGTTGTTTATAATTTTCCTTTTTGGTTTTTCGCTAATAACAAATATTGCACAATTGGAATCTAGAAAATATAATGCGCTTATCAAATTACATATATATATATATATAGCCTAGGCAGATACACATATATAAATCTATATATATGGTTGTATATTAAATGGATTGATTAACATGCAGACACCAAAAGGTAATGCGAAAATTTGAATATCATATGGAATAATCATATGCTTTTTATCATATATATATATGGTATATATATATAGGCTTTGGACTAGCTGGATCAACGTGGCGTTGGGCAGAGTTATGAGCTGAGAGAAAGTAGTGAAGGGAAGACTTACAATTCGGCTTGTCTGTGTGTGTGTGTGTGAGTGGAATAGTTGATAGATGTGAAAAGCTTGCTCTATAGTTTAGTTTGTACAGTTTATACAGCAGAGGGAAGACTGAAGTCAGACGAAGAAGAATGAGTTACACTCGGAGAAAAAGTCGTGGAAATATAATTGTATTTTTTTTTTTTTTTATGAACCTAAACTTAGCAGATATGATAAAAAAGTCATACGAGTACAGCAGATTGTGAAGGTCTAAACAAGTATTATAATTTTCCTATATGATATAATCATCTAATTATAATAGATAGTTTCTAGCAGTTTGAATAGTTTGAATAGCGCATAGGAATCTAAAAACTTATATTTTGGTTGCTAGTTTTTATGATAACTATACGTATATCGTATCGTAGCCTAATATAATTAATAGTTTGTCTCAATATCACAAAACTTAATTAGAACTGCAAAGAATCAAGTTTGGGGCTGATATCTTGAAATTCGAAAAAATTTTAAAGCGAGATTCTAGTTTCTAGTTTCTATCTAAGAAATTTATACGTAATAGCGCAGTTCGATTTTGATGAAGTTGTTTAAAGATATCCCAAAAAATACAATACAAAATTTTATCATATTATATCATCTGGTTGTTTCTGTGAGATTTCACTTGTCTCAGAATGTATATGTACATAGTTTCCCTATGTTTTGATTAAGAATTAAGTATTTGAAAACAAAAGTAAGTTCCGTGAAGTTTTAGTTTTGAAATTGTTATACTCTCAAATAATATTAAATTACGAAATATCCGACTTTTTCTCCAAGTGTATAAACCTAAATATTGTGTATTTATGTAGTATTCCAATGCCACGATGTCCATTTAGCTGCATTATAAGCGCAACTTTGCGACTGCTCAGCTAGCTTAGACGTACTCAAATGTATTACAGACATATACATACACATATATGTGTATATGTGTAATACATACATATATATATCGTACATTAACTATATAGTACTCATTAAATTAAAGATTCTCTTATAAGCATTGCTCCTGGTTAGTATCTGGCGCTAAACTAGAATACAATTTGGTTTATCCATTCATCCATCTATCCATCCATCCATCGATTCATCTATCCGTCCGTCTCTTCGTCCATCCGCTGGCCTATAAATTCGTTTCAGTTCTGTGCGGAGCGAGGACACCTGGCGCGGCAGCCACTGCACCGCCGGGCGTGGCCATGCGCACTCGCTCACCCACGCCGGGTCCCATCAGGCGCGTGTGGCGCAACAGACGCGCACCGCCGGGACCGCCAGCTGCACCAGCACCCACACCCCCTGCCGCTGCTGCTGCAGCTGCTCCCTCCGCTCGCATCGACCACTCGTTCTGCTTGAGCAGAAACTGCTTCACATTGTACTCCATCTGGGCGATGTCCACGTGCTGTGTGGTCGTGTGCAGCTCGGCCTGCACGGAGCGCGTCTTGTCCGTGTCATTGGGATAGTATTTGTAGTTGAGTATATCACACGTGGGCTGTTCGGGGCACTGCAGGGCCGGCGAGCCGGACGACGAGCAGCCCTGCGAATCGGCCGGCGTGGCCGCGGCTGGCACCATCGTCGTGGTGTAGGCCACCGGCAGGCCGGATCGCGTGGTGCGCCTGTAGTAGGTAGTGCAGAGCTCCGCCTTTTTGGTGACCACAGTCGCTGCCGCAACGGCCGCCTGGCTGACGGTCGTCGGCTCGGGCAGCGAATTGCTGGTGATGTCTGTCTTGGGCGAGAGGGAATCCTCCGTGGATTTGCCCGCATCCGCATAGCCATTGGTCAGCTGCTGTGGCGTTGTCTTGTAGCCAGAGTCCACGCTCAGCTTCTCTATGGATATGGAGTCCATGCGATCCAGCGTGGAGTACGACGACTGCCGCTCCGTGCCCGAATTCGAGTCGCTGGGCAACGTCGGCTGCTGCAGCGCGCGCTGCTCCAGCTGCTGCGTGTTGTGCTGCACCCACTCGGCGACGCGATTCAGCTGCTGGCGCCGCAGCAGAACGCTCTCCTGGTAGTCGATGGCATCGCTCAGTGAGCTCGAGTTGGCCGAGTGCTTGGGCGAGCCAGCCGGAGCAGCAGCGGCAGCAGCGGCTGCAACTTTAGCTGCTGCACCGACTGCAGCCACTGCACTCAGATTGGCCGGCTCACCGGCTGCTCCACTGGCCAGTGCCTCGGCTGGCAGCACCTGAGCCTCCAGCGGGCCGCCTTTTTCAGTCTCTTTTAGCTCCACCTGCGGCTCCAGCACCGGCTGCAGCGCCACATTCTCATGCGGCATGGCCGAGCCCTGCCAGGCCTCAACCGCTGCCGCCGCATTGCTCTCCTTGGAGGTGATGATGTCCTTGCCATCGTCGAGCTCCTCGTCCAGCAGGCGCTCGCGTCGCTTGTAGATGACCGGCACATGCGTCTCAATCGACTCCAGATTGTCCAGCAGGATGTTGCTCTGCCCGTTCTGCTGTATGCGCATGGCACAGAGGCGCGGACCGCGATACTTGGGATTCTCGGCCTGCAATGGAAGAGGGTTAGATTGGCCATATGATATATATAATGGGGCTATCTACCTTAATAGTCTTGATGAGATTCCGATTGAAGGTCTCAAACATTTTGGCGCCCTCGCAGCTGCTGGTCTTGTTGCTCCACAGGCTCTGCACGCTGCCCGAGTTCGTTGACTTTAGCTGGGAGGAACAGCTGGCAGTGGCAGCTGCTGCTGCCATGGCTGTCCCAGCTGTCCCAGCTATTCCGGCTGTCCCGGCTGCCCCGGCTGCTCCAATGGCCACAGCTGGCTTCACTGGCTGCGGCTCACACACATCCTCGGGCTTGGTGGGCTGTGTGCTTGGCGGCTGCTCGGCCTCCAGCAGGCTCGGCTGCGATATGCCCGCCAGCAGTGGTTTGCTGACCTCATCCTCCAGCTCCTCAGCCCCCGCCGCCGCAGCTGAGCCGACGCCCTCAAACTTGTTGAGCAGCTGCAGCGCCGTGCCGCCGCCATCGAGAAAGCGTCGCTGATATGCCGTAGCCGCAGTCGTGGCATTGCCCTGGCGCAGTTGGCCCAGATTGCTCGTCTCCAGCAGATATTTCTCGGCCGCATAGGCGCCCAGATGTGTGGTTGGATACATCAGCGTCGAGGTCGAGGTCGCCGTGCGCTCGCACAGCCTGTGATGGCCCAAAATGGGATTGACCATGAGATCATCTTTCTTGGGCGGCGTAAACAGCTTGTCCATCTCATTCAGATCCGAGACGGAGCTTTTCGTTTCCGATATGACCGAATCGCTGCTCTTCACCAGCTTCATCAGATAGGGACTATTGGTCCTAGAAGGCGAATTCAGATTGCTGTGGCAGCGCAGGCAGAGCTGAGTCAGCGGCTCGTTCAGGCTGCGCTCAGTGTGGGGCGTCTGCGTGGCCACCGTATAGGAACGGGAGACGTCTGCCAGCACGGTCAGATCCTGTTTGCTGCACTGGCAAGTGTCGCAGTGCTTCACATCGTTCAATTTCAGCTCATCCTCCAGGAATTTGGCCATCACTGTGGGTGAAATCATGTCTGGATCAGCATTGTTGTTGTTGTTGTTGTTGTTGGTCTTCGTTTGACCATTGAGCGTTTGGCTGGAGCTGAATTTCGAGCTGAGCTTGCTGTTGTTGTTGTTGTTATTGTTGATTGTATCCTTTGTGCTGCTATTGTTGTTGTTGTTAGTATTATTATTGTTGTTGTTGTTGTTGCTCTTCGCTGGCGTTGTTTGTGCATTGGCTGAATTGCCATTAGTGGCGTCTGTTTTTGGGTGAGTCAGAGCAAGAGAAGAAGGGAAAACAATAAGCAATTTAGCAGACAATCAGCTCTAGAGCTGGGGCAGATAATTGGGCATATGTAAACAGATTTTCTATTTTCTTTATTTCTATTGGCAATATTTGTTTAGAATGAATCAAACTGACAGATGGCAGGCAGTAAAGTTGGCTTTAGTAGATGGACACGACTTCAACTCTGAACAACTGTTCGATTGAGCAAAGCTTATAACTTAAGTGATGCCTAAGGTCATTGAAGTTACTGTACTATTATTAATCTATTACTGCTTAAAGTAGGCTTACTCTCGTACATACATAACCTACTTTTTAGAGCAATGGGAAAAAGCCCTAAAAATCAGCTTCGAGTGAGTCTTCGAGTTAGTTTTCCAGCTTGTCTATCTATACCTCTAACTCCTTTCTTTTTGTAGATATGTCTCTCTCTTTCTCTCTCTAGCTCACTCTGACTCCCTCTGGCTCTATCTCACTCCAACTGTCTCTCGCTCTATCTCTCTTTTACTTTCTATCTAACTCTCTCTACTCTATCTTCTCTTCTTGCTGCATTATAAGGCCTTTAATACATACATATAGAGACATACACACAACTCACACATATACATATCAAACACACACACTTTCAAATTCCAATCATAGGCTAAGAATTTAATTATAAACCAAAGCTATGAATGCTTCGATGAAATTTTATTCGTTTTAATTAGCCAAGTTTAATAATGCTGTCAGCCATGATTCAATTGATTTGTTGCATATATATACATACACACACACACACGTATACATACATATCATGTCACATATGAATGCATCAATTTTTAAACAATTTCAATTATTCACGCTAAAAATATTGCCAAATAAAAATAAACTTTGTAGCCATAAAATATGGCATAAATTTGAAAAAAGATATAAAAACAAAGAAAAATAAATGATGCCAATTATTTACAATAAATGTGAGCTGCAATTGAAACTGAAACAATAAACTAAGTGAAATAATAAATAGCACAAAAGTTCATCAATAATTTACAATGTAAAAAGGCAACAAAAAGAAAATAAAATAAAATAAATAAATGAAAAATGCAAACTGTGAAATTGTTGCTTGTGAATGATTGCTGCAAGTTCAATAAAGTAAATAATAATATCAACTCCAATCTAGAATATAAATAAATGAAACGAGTTAACGAAATTATGCAAATCATACGAGTAATCAACAAAATCAAAATGGTCTACTAACACTTACCGAGGCCCCGCATCGAGTATACCATGGCCGTGGGCGGGAAGGGGCATGGCGCTGGCGGGGGTGAGTCCGAGACCGGAAGCACTTTATAGGAAGCTGTGGTGGCCACGCCCACACCACTATTGCTGCACTCCGAGTCCGAATGCGAGTTCGTCTCCAGCCGCATATAGGCCGAAACTTTCGACTGAATATCAATTGGCAGCTGAAGCACCAAAAAAAAAAAAAAAAAAAATGGAGTTAATCAACCTGGCCAAGCTCCTGGCTGAGTGGGTGAGCGCAACTTACCGAGGACACCTTTTGGGGCACAAAACTGTCCGGCTTGCATTGCAGCAATTGTATGGCAAGACTAATGTCGGCCTTGTAGCGTTCCTAAACGAGAGATGGGTGAGAAAGAGACGGAGCGATTATGTGTGTGAGTCCAAAAGAAGAAGCAAGCAATATATCAAGATAAGAGCGTAACAGGAAGTTGCGGCCTCATCTCTATCTCTCTATGTGTGCGTGTGCATGTGTGTGTGTGTGTTACCCTTTTGACACTTTTCGTATGCAAATGTCAAATATGTTTGTCGTTCGCTTTTTGTTTGCTCCTTTTTTTACTATTGTGCACTCTACGTACACACACACATGATGCCATGTATTCTACTGTTAAGCCCCTGCCGTTCCAAGTTTCCCGGCCATTTTCCGTTCAGCTTCTTAACACATTGTTAAACAAACTTTTTGCTGTTGCCTTTGTATTTCGGTGTCAGCGACAGCCTCAAAAAGTTTCCCTCTTTCTCTCTCGCTCACGCTCTCTGTCTCGCTCTCCCTGCCTGCTTTTGTTTTTTTGTGGCTTACACCAAACTTTAGATGGTTCTTAAATTTTGCAAATGCGCTGCACTCGAACTTGTTAAACAACAGCAACTGCAGCGAGCGACAAACGCACGTTAGCAGGCAAATGGCACTGCTGGCAGTGTTGGACAACGATATGCAACGCACCTTTTACACTTTCGAATTTGTTTGAGATTTTTCTCCTTTCTCTCCTTTTACATTAATTTTATATCATAATTTTGGGATTTTGAGACTTAGTTGTAAATTAGGTAAATAGTGTTTGGGCATTATACAACACTAATATAAAAACTAATTAAAATTAATATTAAAAATACATATTTTCTCATACTCAATGATTAAGTATTGAATATTTGACTAATTTAATTATAAAATAATTTTTAACGTTACTCAACACTAATCGAGCAATTTTTGTACCTCACTTATTCAGCTTCTCTATCATTGTTATATATCATATATTTATAAATCTACCTACCTATATTTATAAATCTACTACCTTTTAAGTATGTATATAAAATTTATATATATTTAAGCATTACTCAACACTATTACTGCCCAAACTCCATAGCTCATTTACAGGGCAGTGCGGTACAGCATCAGTCAAATGCATTCCTTTGACCTACATAGCATTTGTGCAACCAACAACAACAATAACAACTCAAAGAGACAAAAAGCGTTGAGGCATTTCGCACCGCGTTTACCAACACTTACACGCCATGTCACACTACTATTTCGTGTTGCTTTCTTTCTTTTCGTTTTTCCTTATTTTTTTGCAATTCTTGTGCTCCCTTTGGTTTTCCCGTGAATTTTCATGCCGCATAGCTGCAAAATGCCGCCGCTTGCATTTTATGCGCCTCATTTTTACTCCATTTTTCCACTTTTCTGCCGCGAATTGTTTTTTATTCTCTCCTTCAGTCGTTTATCCTGGTATTTTTTATTGTATTCTTTATATATGTATATACACATATGTACATATATATTGTGCGCTTGCAGCGATTTCTGTGCACAAAAAAATGCAGAGAAATAAACTCCACTATGGCATAGTGTCATTTGCAGTAATGGGCATGGCATGCCATAGACTCCAACAAATATACATACATATATCAATTTGAAGGGTATGGCAAGTGGCATTACATACAGATACAAAACATATATATGCTGATTTATATATGTACATACATATATATATAGCGTGAGCTGAAAGGCCAACCAAATTAGCTGCTATAATTGAAAACTGATTGACAGCACACGATATCGTTGCTATTTTAATGCCTACGATTCCGATTTTAACAATTGAAATAAATCTTTCTTCTTTCATTTATTTTAGTGATATACTCAATTTTATTTCAATCAATGAAAGAATAGTACAGAATTGGCTAAAAATATTTAAAGGTTTTTTTTTTTTTAATTTTTTAAGCATGAATTTAAATTTAATTTGAATTTAAATTGGGTTGAACTCCTTATTCCCTAATTTTAAATGTATTAACATACACATGTTAAATGACAGCAAAATCAAGCTGTTAACAACATTTACTCGAAAAACGTTCTCGGCTCTCTTGAATATCAACACTTACGTTACGCCACGTAAGGCTTAACAGAGTTGAGCCAGGCTTTATAATGCGCTGAAGTGAGATGACTGAGTACTGTTAAAAAGTCACTCTACCGAGCTACTGAGTCTGTTAATACTTATAGCTCTGCAGCTTCTGTTAAGTCAACTGATTAACATAAGCTTGCACTGTAACTTAACATGAACAATGGATTAAGAGTGTCTTACTTTGTAAAAGAGGTTTAGGGCTGCTCTTATATTATTCCATTTGATTTCCCTATATTTACATCGCCCTTAACATCGCATTTAACGGCTGCACTTAAAATTGACCACCTGAACGACCTACTACTACTATTACAGCTACTACTCCACCTGATAACCTATTCAATATAGCATGCATGTCCCTATTCCCCAGGTGCAGTATGCAGCTAGTGCCTGTCCCATATCGTGTGCACTTTATGGCCGCAAATCTTGGAGCGAGCCTTCAATGGGTAAATTTACAGCTATGCAGCATCGAGCCGAGCAGCTGCCATCAATCCACATTGAAGCTCAATAACATTGAACGTCGCTTGGCGCATGATGCAAATAAATTGTTCAACTTTACGTTCCTTAATGAAGTGAACGAGTTGCCTCGCCGGCTCCACCCCTTCCCTCTGCCTGGTTTAAGTTGCGAAAATTCTGCTGGCCCTTTGGACAATTGAACTACATTTAAAACGTGCTGCGAACTTGGCCAATGGATTGGATCGCTTTTAATTAAACGAAACGTTGTGGCGCAACAAGGGGTGCAACGAGGGGTGCATTTCGCCCGCATTTATATGCATATCTAACATTGTGTGATTTTGTGTGTTTGTGTTAGTGTTTTGTGTATTTCTATGAACAAGTAATAAGGATAATTGATTCATTAGCGCGTGTTTCTCGCATTGTATGCATTTAATTTGAATAGCAAAATCCCCTGCAGCTGTTGGCATTTAAAAGACTTTTCTAATCAAACATCATCAATAGCGCATTGATTGCATTGCCAGGGAGAGATAGAAAGAGAGACGAGAGAAGAGAGAGAGATAGAGAGAGAGAGAGAGAAGTGATAGAGTTCGCCGGTTTTGCATGTGGCTAAAATTGCAAACAAAAAGCTTAAGGGTTTTTCGCATTCATCGGCCGTTGGTTTGATTGCCTTTTGTGCCGATTCCAGCGTCCTTCACTCTCGCTCTCTCTCTCTCTCTCTCTCTCTATGCCTTCTCTCTATTTCTTTTACTCTGTTTTTTCCACGTTTTTCCAGCTCAACACGATTGCTGTGCAATTTCACGCTTGTTTGCTGACCGACGACCAACTGACCGCAAGCAAAACGTGGAACCACATACGATTGCAGCTGGGTAGGTACGTAGTCGAAAGGGTGTAAAGGGGTTGGGGGCATGGGGAATAGAGGTAGCCCGCGCTTGAAGCTCACTAATAGAATTGCTGACACGCTAGACGACGTTTATGTAGTGTATATGGCGATCACGCGAACTAAATGAGTTTTTAGTGAGTTTGAAGGAGAAATTGAGAAAGCTGAACTGAGAGGGGAATATGGAACTAGATTGGATTTACCTATAAATAATATGGCACATGTTACAGTTCCAGTTTTTAATTTATATACAGGATATAAGTAAAATACTGGATATTTTTGATATTATATATGTTATTTATACTTTTATATTACTCATATTTTTTATATTTTTATTATTTTTTAATGAATTAAAAAATAACCTTTTTTTATTAAATTCATATAAATATAGTCGATTCTAAATTTAAGAAATCATTCAAATAGAGTTTATTAACTTATCTCCAGCCAAGCTTTCTAGCCAGCATTTATATCAGAAAACAACAGTTCAAACAATTCTATTACAATTTTCTAATCATTTCCCAATCATTCTACAACACACAAATCCTACTTTATGTTCCTCTCTCCAGTCACATTCAGCTGCCCGCATAGACCGAGCTCAACTTAGGCTTTGAATTGGGACCACATTTAATTGACGTGACATTTGAGTTTATATAGATTACGGACATGTGGCCTACATATTTTCTATTAACGCTCTAGCTGGCATTGCCAAAGCAATGGAATGGGCGCACATTACGTATGCGTAATATTGTGCGCTAATTAACGCGCGGTTTTTTTTTTTTTTTTAATTTTTTTTTATGTCCATTTACGTGGCTAAGGTCCTTTAAAGGCCACTCAACCGCAAAATCAAAACCACAAATGCCAACTAAATCATGAGAAAATTAATTTTCTAGCTACAACAAAAGCAACAACAACAACAACAACAACAGCAGCAGCAGCAGCAGCAAAAGCAATTGCATAGCAAATTAAGTTATGCTTGAGCAAGGGATGCAGCTGCAGGCGATTGCTTGTTGCTGGGCGTGCCAGGTGGCCGCGGGGCAGGTGGCGATGGATGGGGTGGGGGATGGGGCTGGCTACTATCTGAATCTAATTAGTCGCTCAAAAGCATTGCTGCCAGCAACTAAGTAAAGCGCAACTGCATGACATTTATGTATATGGCCGCCTGCTGAAATGGCGCTGCCTGCAGGGACTCAGGTTGGCAAATGCTCCAGGCGCTGCGCAATTGTGGAGTCAACAAAATGCTTGCATTATTGTTTAACTGCTGCATTTGATTAACTAATTTATGAGAGAGAGACAGAGAGAGTGGGAGAGAGAGGGCTCCTAAGGGCCATACATCAGTTCTGTTGTGGGCCAAATTGCCAAACTGGCTCATAAAGCATTAAGATGTGGTAGAGCGAGCACAACATTGTGTGAACTTGGCTGAATACACTAAGCGTCGCTCAGATCTGACCAAAATTAGCATAAGCATAAACATTAACGAGTGCTCTGGCGCTCTGTGTGTGTGTGTGGGTGTGCGTGCGCGTGTGTCTGTGTGTGTGTGTGTTTGCGTAGGCCAAGTCAAACATTTGGCAGCCAGTGCATTAAATACACCCAATTGCGCATACATATGTAAGGATAACAGAAACT